TCTATGCCTCTCCTTGATACTGCTGATGATGAAAACGCTATCGAAGATCAGGCAGAACATCGCTACTGACACCCTGAATACCCCAGGTTAGCCCTGCCAAGCATGTTTCCACATGCTAGTTCATCTATTATGAAAGTCTTACATTATCCCCCAGAGACCCTGAAACTGACAGTGTAGCTGATATGGTGACTGCGGTACCGATAGCTCTGACAATTTACAACCTGCCAAACAAACCATGACTTCCAGACCGACAGCTTCCTCAGTACCGACAGTAACCTTGCTGTCAACAACAGCAGCCTTGGTACCGACAAATTTACACCTGGACCTGCAGTCTGCACTATGAACAAATTCCCAGCAATCGTACAGTCCACAATAGAAACGTTTTACACACTTGCTGCCAGTAACAACTTATCACCTGTATCTGCAACTATTGAGAACATTTTGCAGTTCCTTCCCTCATTACACCAAGGAGGCTTAAAACCTTCTCCCATCAAGGTATATGTTGTAGCCATTTCATACCATAGAGGACATATAGACATTTGTGTTCTCGTACTAGTTAATACATCGGTTCCTACAAGGCCTACAAAACCTTCACTCTCCGATCAGAATGATTGTCCTGACATACAGCCTGCCTGTCGTCCTGCAGCCGTTAACTAAACCTTCATTTCAGCCTCTGGCCTCCGTCAATCTGCAACTTCTTTCCCAGAAAGCTACTTTCCTAGTTGACCATGACCTCCACCAAAAGGGCTAGTGAGCTATACACACTTCAGGTCGAGCCACCCTACCACAGCTTTCATAAAGAAAAGGTAGTTCTTTGCATGGACCCAACATTCCTCCTGAAATTAGCGACAGTGTTCCTCCTTAATCAAGACATTGTCCTGCTGGCATATTTCCAGTGCCATTGACACCAATTGAGCATGCCCTACATTGTCTTGATGTAAGAAGTTCCCTGGCATTTTATTGGTCCCAAACCGGCACATTAAAAAAAACTGCCTGTTTGTTAAATTCTCTGAACATGACAAAGGAACGCCAATACAGCCCTAACTCCTATTGAAGTGGATCGTAGGAACTATCCAACTCTCCTACCAACTTTCCAAACTGGGCATGCCTATTGCCTCAAAGGGACACTCCATCATAGCTGTAGCTGCCCTATGTGCAGGCATACCAGTGCAGGATTTATGCAAAGCTGCTACATTGTCAACTTTCTGTACTTGCATAAAGCACTATCATCTAGATGTGAGAGCTGGACTGCTCCTTAGTCATGCTATCCTACCTACTGTTCTTCAGTACCGACACTGTCCCGCCTCCTGGTGGGTAAGCTTGCTAATCACCCATATGTGTGATGTACAGAGACCATGATGCTTACCTCTAACTGTCGTTCTTCGAGTGGTCATCTGTGCATTCATACAACCCACTTGCTGGGCCCACATTGGTGTCAGTGACTGGGTTCATATTTCATGAATTGCATTCTCTTCAACTTACATTTTCTTGCCGGTACCAGCTGGTGGCGAATGGGCACTCTTCAGCTGACTGGTGAGAGGGTGGGGACTCTGCCCATTTATATGTGGGGGGAGGGGGAGCGGATTGCCCGCCAAAAAACATTAGAGCTGAGAGTGTCTTCCTGAAAATAGGCACTGCGCAGGTGCAGCACCCATATGTGTGATGCAGAGATGACCACTCAAAGAACAACAGTTACAGGTATGCAATCTGGCTTTGCCCTCCCCTGGATCCTTTCTAATTTTCCTGCATCTTTTTTAAATCTTGGTGCCCAGAACTGGACACAGAATTCCAGATGAGGGCTGGCTAGTGAGGAGTATAGGAGAACTCTACTACTTGTGATTTGGAAGTAATACTTGTGTTAATGCATCCAAAATAGCATTTGCCCTTTTGGTTGCTGCATTGCATGGTTGGCTCATATTTATCCCATTGTTCACAATTACTCAGAGATCTTTTTCTTTTTCAGTTCTGTAGAGCCATGTATTCCCCATCTAGTATTGATGCATTTGGTTTCTTGTTCCTAGGTAGAGGACTTGGCACTTGTCCTTACTGAATCTCATTCTGTTGCTTTCAGCCCAGTGTTCAATACTATCAAGATCACTTTGGATCTCCATTCTGTCTCCTAGGGTGTTTGCTATTCCACCCAGTTTTGTCTCATCTGCAAATCTGATTATCTTTCCTTGTACTTCTTCATCTAAATCAGTAATAAAAATATTGAAAAGCACAGGGCCCAGGACTGAACCCTGTGGCACCTCACTAGTTACCTCCATCCAATTTGAGAAGGTGCCATTGATGTGTCTGACTTAGCAGCCAGTTTTAGATCCACCTAATAGTTTTTCCATCTAGTCTAGTTTTTGCTGACTTATCAGAATGTCATGTGGCACTATGTCAAAAGCTTTGCTAAAGTCTAGGTAGATTATGTTCATGGTGTTCCTTCTGTCCATTTTGGAGGTTAACCAGTCAAAAAATGAGATTAACATTTTTGATAAATCCACATTGGCTTTTATTAACCCTTAACCATTTGTCTGTCGATCTTACCACCTCTCACTTTGTCTTGCTACCTCTCACTTCCAGCTTGTACTTCCTCGGTTGTAGATTTTCTTGAATGAGTCTCAAGGAATAGGAATTGAGGCGAAGTAGGAATTGAGCACCTTCACCTTTTCCTTCTCACCTGAAATCACTCTGCCATCTACTTCAAGAAGCTGGACACCTTTCTCTTTTGTTCTGGATGTATCTGAAGAAGGCTTTCTTGGTGTTCCTAGCATCTCTTGCTATTCTCAGTTTATTTCCTGCTTTAGCCTTCCTGATGCCTTTCTTTTGGTTCTGGCCTCTTGGCAGAGCAGCAGAGGCAGAGGCTGGGCGAGAGGGCTGAGTGGCCAGGGGACTGGTGAAGGCAAGGGAGGAGCTGGGCAGGGGAGCAGAGGGCCAGGAGCAGCAGAGAGGAAGGGGGCGGGGCCAGAGAGGTGGGAGGGGCCAGGAGGGAGCAGGGGGTGGGGCCACTGGCCTGAGGGACTGATAAGGCATCGTCCCTTGTCTGCGTCCCTTAGCTGTGGCCTGGGCTGCCCGGAGACTCCCTTCCCTGAAACACAGAAGTTTGTTGTTTTGTTTTGTTTTGTTTTGTTTTGTTTTGTTTTGTTTGTGCTGTGCTTTGTTTTTCTTTCAATTTAAATTTATTTTATCCTTGTGTGTGTGTGCGAGTGGGTTTTTGTCTGGGAGAACTGGGCGAGTGGGAGGAACTGCAGGACAAACAAGGCGGGGGACCAAGGTATGTTCTCGCAAGGGATACCGATGGCAGACCAGGAGGTGGCCTTGGCGGGAGTCACGGGTGTTGCTGTCCGCTACGAGAGCTGCGACATGTTCTCCCTTCTCCCCCAGGAGAGGCAGGGATACACTTGCTCTCAGTGCAAGCTGGTGACCCTGCTAGAAGAGGAGGTGAGGTGCCTGAGGGCCGAGAGAGCTCTCCAGGCCCCCCCCGGAGCAGCCCCCTCTGGACAGAGGGTTGAGGGAGAGGCCACGGGAGGAGCAGCTGCGGAGACATGGAGGTATGTCACCCTCAGGAGGAGGAGGCCAGCAAGGCCTCCTCCTTCTCCTGGCACCAATCTGGAGCTGGGAAACAGGTTCTCTCCACTTGGGGAGGCTGGGGCTGATGAGGCCTCAGGGGACCAGCAGGACCCCCAGCCTGGGACGTCAGGCGGCAAGGGGGCCGCTGCAGGAGAGGCGAGGGCCAGGGCACGGCCGCCCACCAGCACCGGGAAGGTACGGCAGTGGGTGATTGTTGTTGGGGACTCCCTGCTGAGGGGCACCAAGGTGGCAGTGTGCTGCCCCAACCTGGAAACAAGGGAGGTTTGCTGCCTGCCGGGCGCATGCATCCGGCATGTGATGGACAGAGTGGAGCGTATTGTTCGCTCCGGGGGTCACCAGCTGCTCCTGGTGATCCATGTGGGCACAAACGATGTGGCCAGGCAGGGTGTGGTTGGGACCACCAGGGACTTTGAGGCCTTGGGGAAGAAACTCAGGGAGCTGAAGGCCCAAGTGGCCTTCTCATCAATCTTACCTGTCCAAGGATTTGGGCCAGGAAGGGACAGGAGGGCCTCCGAGGTGAACGACTGGCTTAGGGTGTGGTGCCAGAAGGAACGCTTTGGGTTCCTCGACCACGGCACTCGTTTTCTTGCCAATGGACTTCTGGCAATGGACAAGTTACACCTCACGAGGATGGGGAAAAGGTCCTTTGGAGATGCTCCAGCGAGCTTCGTCCAGAAGACTTTAAACTGAGCCGGGGAGGGGATGGGTTCAGGCCCCCCAGGAACGTGTCTGCACTGGAAAAGTGTGGGGGGAGGATCAGGACTCTAGGAGCAGGGTTTTAGAGATACTGCAGGGACTGACAGGACTCCTTCAGAGAGGGGCCAGGTATCAGAGAGGATGGGAGGAAGGAGGAGGCTGGGAACTCCAAGGAAAGGAAGCGGTGGGAAGGAGTTGAGGTGCATGTACACCAATGCTAGGAGCATGGGTAATAAGCAGGAAGAGCATGAAGCTCTCCTGGGAATAGGAGGGTATGACCTGGTGGGGATCACAGAAACTTGGTGGGATGAAAGGCAAGACTGGAATGTAAACATAGAGGGGTATCACCTTTTTAGAAAGGACAGGAAGGGAAAGAGAGGTGGGGGCATGGATTTAAATGTCAGGGAAGGGATAGGATGCAGTAAGATAGAATGCAGCACAGATGGGGAATCAGTAGAGGCAGTCTGGGTGAAATTTAGGGGTTTTGACAGGAAAAGAGACCTGACAGTGGGGGTATGTTATCGCCCTCCAGGTCAACTTGAGACCCTGGATGATGTCCTGACAGGCCAGATTCTAAGGATATCTCAGGGGAGAGACACAGTAATTATGGGAGACTTCAGTCTCCCGGATATTACTGGGGAGACTCACTCAGCGGTGACAGCCAGGTCACGTCCCTTCCTAGATGCTATTGAGGGAGCGTTTTTCACACAGAGGGTCCGAGATGCGACGAGGGGGGGAGACATCCTTGACTTGGTCTTGACCAATAGGTTGGAGCTGATAGATGAAGTACAGATTAGGGGAGCTCTGGATGCGAGTGATCACTCCATCCTTTGCTTTGAGATGAGGGGACTGCGGACGGGCAGCATGTCGAGCACTAGAAGCTGGGACTTCAAGAGGGCCAACTTTGGCCAACTGAAGGCCAGACTGGGGAAAGTCTCCTGGGATAGGTTACGGGAAGGTAAGTGAGTTGAGGAGGGGTGGATAGCACTCAAAAGGGAGGTTTTGGAGGCGCAAGCCTTGACGATACCTCTAGTCAGTAAGGTGGGGAGGTGGAGGAGAGTGCCGCCATGCATGCGAAAGGAGGTGGTTAGAGGGATTAGACGAAAGAGGAACCTCCGTAGGAAATGGGTACTGGGGCAAATAGACAAAAGGGTATACCGGGAGGAGGAGGCCCGTTGCAGAAGGATTCTTTGCAAGGCTAAGGCTGATTAGGAGCTGAGACTTGCCAAGAATATCAAGAGCAAGAAAAAGGGCTTCTTTCAGCATGTAAATAGGAAGAGGAAGGGGAGACAAGTGGTGGGACCACTAAATAAGGAGGAAGGAGATCCAGTGACTGAAATGAGGGAACAGGCACAGATGCTAAATGACTATTTTGCCTCTGTATTCTCCCCAAAACAGGATGGGGGATATCCACATAGGGGCACAGATTAGGGTCACCCCTCTTGAAGTTGAGGGGCTCCTCAGGGCATTGGACATTACAAAGGCGCCAGGCCCTGATGGGTTATACCCGAGAGTACTTAGAGAGTTGGCAGGGGTTCTCTCACTCCCGCTGGCCTCCATTTTTGAGACCTCGTGGAGAACGGGTGAAGTTTCAGAGGACTGGAGCGTGGCATCAGTGGTCACAATTTTCAAAAAGGGTAGTAGAAAGGACATGGGGAATTATAGACCGGTTAGCCTTACATTCATTGTAGGAAAAACAATGGAAAGTCTCATAATACAGAGAGATCTAGTGATGCTAGATAGGGAAGGGAGGCTGACAGCCACACAACACGGCTTCTGCAAAAACAGGTCCTGCCAGACAAACCTTGTGGAATTCTATGACAAGGGTTCGAGATGGCTAGATGGAATGTGGATGCAGTGGATGTGGTATACCTGGATTTCAGCAAGGCCTTTGACAAAGTGCCCAATGATATCCTGGTGGAGAACCTGAGGAGTTTTGGGATACACCAAAGCACTGTCCAATGGATTAGGGCATGGCTGACTGACCGAAAGCAGAGGGTAACCCTTAACAGGGAATCATCAGGATGGTGGCCAGTGACAAGCGGGGTCCCCCAGGGCTCTGTCCTGGGGCCGATCCTGTTTAATCTTTTCCTAAATGACATGGAAGAATGGGTGAACAGTGTGCTGATCAAATTCGCAGAAGATACTAAAACTGGAGCAGTGGCCACAACTGAGGAGCAGGTACTCCAAATCCAAAAGGATCTGGACGGACTATGGAAGTGGGCAGGAGACAACAGGATGGCGTTCAATGTGGATAAGTGCAAGGTCTTGCACTTGGGGCATAGGAATAGGTGTCATAAGTACAGGTTAGGGGACAAGTGGCTGGAGAGCAGCACTTGTGAAAGGGACCTCGGGGTACTGGTTGACTGCAGGCTAAACATGAGTCAGCAGTGTGATGCGGTGGTCAAGAGGGCGAACGCCGCCCTTGGTTGCATAGCCAGAAGTGTGGCTTCTAGATCAAGAGAGGTATTACTACCACTCTACACAACTCTAGTGCGCCCGCAACTGGCGTATTGAGTTTTGGGCCCCTCATTACAGAAAGGATATAGCCAGGTTGGAGTCAGCGCAGCGTAGGGCCACAAGGTTGGTGGCTGGTTTGCAGGGGATGCCGTATGAGGCGAGACTGAGGGAACTGGGTCTCTTCAGCCTGGAGGAGATTCAGAGGGGATATGTTGGTGACATACAGGTATGTGAGGGGATGTCACATGGAGATGGGTAGAGACCTGTTCTCCCCTGCAGAGGAAGGCAGTACGTGCTCCAACGGAGCAAAGCTCAGGGAGCCTAGGTTTCGTTTGGATGCCAGGAAGCACTTCCTGGCAGTCAGGACCCCGAGGGTGTGGAATGGGCTTCCACGAGAGGTTGTTGAGGCCCCATCGGTGCGGGTGTTCAAGGATAGGCTGGACGTCCACATGGTGGGCATGTCATGAGTGAAGCCGGTTGGTGCCGGAGGTCAGACTAATGAAATGTGACCTCCGGCACCATCTTGATGAAATCAGAGCTACAGACTGAGAGTCTTGATGCTCACCTGTCATTTAGAGAGGTAAACACACTTCAGGGCAATTTATAATCACCCAAACATGATAAGGCACAAAGCAGCAACATTTGCCGCTACTTCATCAAGTCACCATTCCCCCAGAAGTGGTTCATAGGGATTCCCATTGGCAGAAGGATATTTCTTCCTCAAATTTTTGCATCCATTTTATGCATATTTGAACTTGTTCAGTTTCATTATCATATTGCAATAATTGCTTGAAAATCTGTCCCTATAACTGATCTTTTTGCTGCAAAATTAACTTTTCAAATTCTGTTGAGTTTCTTATGTTGCCTCTTCCTGCCTGAATTTCTCATTTCAGTCTTGAAAGGAATCAAACATAGAGAAGCGATTATATCTTTTTTTCCTTCATCTTTTAGTTTTTGCCAAGACATAATTCCTTCTTGTTGCTCAATCATATCTCCATATGTTTTAAAATTACTGCCTTTCCTTAGATGCTTATTGCCATATGCTTCTATTGGAGACATCAGAGGAGAAATTGGAAGACTATTTCTTCTTTTAAAACACCACATTCCTATTAAACCATCTCTGATTACATGGTTTTTGTCATGTGTAAATCTTTTTTATTTATTTATTATTTATTTATTAAGACATTTTTATGCCGCCCCATTCGCCGACGCCTCGGGGCGGCTTACAACATTAAGTTAAAATACAAATACATTAAGTTAAAATACAAACATTAAGTTATAACCTTAAATTAAAATGTTTGTAACGTGCAGACATAAAGTTAAAACACAAAAATAACAATATAAAATAAGTCGCCCTGGCCAGGTAAAATCCAATAATATTAACAATTAAAATGACGCTTAAATAAAAAGGTCTTTGCCTGGCGCCGAAAAACAAATAACGACGGCACCAGGCGGACCTCTCTGGGGAGCGCATTCCATAGATTAGGCGCCACCGCAGAGAAAGCCCTCCTCCGAGTCCCCACCCTCCTGATTTCTTTCACGAAGGGTTCCTGGAGAAGGGCCTCTCCCGCAGATCTCAAGGGGCGGGCGGGCATATATGGATGTAAGCGCTCCTTCAGGTAACCAGGACCCAAGCCGTTTAGGGCTTTATAGGTCATTACCAACACCTTGAATTGGGCCCGGACTTCAATGGGAAGCCAGTGAAGCTGACGGAGAACTGGAGTCATGTGAACATAATGCCCAGTCCCAGTCAGCAGCCTGGCAGCTCTATTTTGAACCAATTGAAGTATCTGGACCATCTTCAAGGGTAGCCCCACGTAGAGCGCGTTACAGAAGTCAAGGCGGGAAGTCACCAGCGTGTGTGTCACTGTCGCCAGGCAGTCTTGCTCCAGGTAGGGGCGCAGCTGATGAATCAGCCGAAGCTGAAGGAAAGCGCTCCTCGCCACTGCTGTTACCTGAGCTTCCAGTGAAAGCTCCGGGTCAAGGAGCACTCCCAGGCTGCGGACCTTGTCCCTAAGAGGGAGTGCAACCCCATTCAGGACTAGGTTCAATTCACCCTCTCTGAAGCCCAATCCGCCAACCAACAGGACTTCCGTCTTGTCTGGATTGATCTTCAGTTTATTGGCCCTCATCCAGCCCATTACTTCGGCCAGGCACCGGTTCAGTACAGCCACTGCCTCACCTGGATTGGTGGAAAATGAGAGGTAGAGCTGGGTATCATCCGCGTACTGATGATTCCGCAGCCCACACCTCCTGATGACCTCTCCCAGTGGTTTCATGTAGATGTTGAACAGCAAAGGGGACAAAATGGACCCCGGCGGTACTCCATGGCATAGCTGCCATGGTGCACAGCCATAGTCCCCCAGCACCACCTTCTGGAACCGGCCATTGAGATAGGAGCAGAACCACTGCAAAGCAGTGCCTCCGACCCCCAATCCCACTAGCCTATCCAGAAGGATACCATGGTCGATGGTATCGAAAGCTGCCGAGAGGTCCAGGAGAACCAACAGGGATGCACTCCCCCTGTCCTTCTCCCTGCACAGGTCATCGTACAGGGCGACCAAGGCAGATTCAGTACAGTACCCGGGTCTGAAGCCGGACTGAAATGGGTCCAGATAATCAATTTCATCCAAGAGTGCTTGGAGTTGTCCCGCCACCACCCGCTCTAACACCTTGCCCAGAAACGGGATGTTGGCCACTGGTCTATAGTTAGTGGCCATCTCTGAATCCAGTGACGTCTTCTTCAGGACCGGTTGGACTACTGCCTCCTTTAAAGGGGCAGGCACCCGACCCTCCCTCAGAGAAGCATTAACCACTTCCAAGATCCAGATCCCAATCCCGTGCTTGGAATCCTTTATTAACCAAGACGGGCAAGGGTCCAATAGGCAAGTGGTGGGACGTACTCGTCCAAGCACCTTGTCCACATCATCGGGCCGCAGTAACTGAAATTCATCCAATAATTCTGGACCAGACGGCAGCATTGGTGTCTCCCCAAAAACCTCTGATTCACTAGTGGTGTCCAGCTCGTGACGAATCTGAGCGATTTTCTCCTTGAAATGCCTGGCAAAGTCGTCACAGCGAGCCTTTGAGGGTGGAACCAGATCTTCCTTAGGGCCTGGACGAACCAGGCCTTGCACCACTCGAAAAAGCTCCGCCGGACGGCATTGTGAGGAGGCAATGGAAGCGGAAAAAAACCTCTTTTTCGCCGTCCTCACCGCCACAGCATAGGCCCGATAATGGGCTCTCAAGTGTGTTCGGTCAGATTCATCCCGTGATTTCCTCCACCTATGCTCTAGCCGTCTCCCAACCTGCTTCATCGCCCGCATTTCAGGTGTATACCAAGGGGAAGAGTGGGCTCTGCCCGGTGGGAGAGGACGCTTAGGAGCGATCGTGTCCACAGCCCTGGTCATTTCCCCGTTCCACAGTTCGACCAGAGCCTCGACAGGAGCACCAGTCTTGTCAGCCAGAAACTCTCCCAGGGCCTTCAGGAATCCATCCGGATCCATCCGGCTCTGGGGGTGGACCCACACAATCGGGTC